TCTTGCTGGGCTTTGCAGCTGTCCTCCAGACGGAGAGGATGTTCTTGACAAGAATGTCTGACTTCAGGGCATCCGTGAGGGAGGTCACAGAGGTTTCGGGGACCTTGTTGTCTTCCAGGAAGAAATTAAAGGCATCCTTCAGCCTGTGGGTGAGGCAGAGCAGGGGGGTGAGCAGAGGGAGCCTCAGCAGCCAGCCGTGGCCAGCACTGGCTGTCGGCAATAAGCACAGGCTTGGTCAAGGTTGCTGCTCAGTGGTGGCTCTCAGCAGTGGCCGAGGTTATGGTTCAGTGGTGGCCAAGGTTGTTTTTCAGTGGTGGCTCATCAGTGATGGCCAACCCCTCATGCTAAAGGCTGCCCTGGGGTACATCCGGTGGCCTCCGGAGTCAGTGAGACAGCTGATGGTTGGGCATAAGAAAAATCTCTTCCCGTCAGGGGTGATGCCACCTTGGGCCAGGCCCAAGCATCTCCGAAGACAAAGGAGCTCCACCAGCACACAACCACACAAGGCCTTGAGCAATCTGCCTAGAGCAGGACTTAGACCAGAGCCCTTCAGAGGTCTCTCCCCAACCAATCCCTCCTGGGAAGCTGTGACTTCTGCCACTGCCATGGCTGTCCCAGGGTATGACCTGGACTTACTCATAGTCAGGCTGAAAGTTGGTCAGTGCCACCATGATCATCTCGTGCAGCTCTATGAGGAAGAGGTTGAGGTTGGTGTTGGACAAGTCCAAGGCCAGACGTTTTGCTTTCTGAGGAGACAGCTGTCTGTGGAACTCCTTGGGCACCAGGCAGAAGGGATCCTGCAAAGACCACCACAACCCTCTTGTGTCCTTGAGCCTTGTACCAGGGTCACAGAGAGCTTCCAAGACATGAGCCAGTCTTGAAAGTCCCCAGGAGAGTGGATTATCTCCACTGGATTATCCAGGATGGGCCAGATATCTCCCTTGAGTTCATCAAGGGTAAGGATGAGACCGGCCTGTCTAAAACACCACCCGGATGCAGCAGCATCTTTCCTCTCTCCTCCTGGGGGGAGCAAATCCTATCTCCTCCGCCAGCTTCACCTCCCTCACCTGGTTCATCTGTACCAACAACATGGACCTGCGAGCCGCCAGGACCTGCCACAGCGACAGGACATGCTTCAGCCGGGTGTGGGCCACCACCTGAAGAAGGGGGACAGAGAAGCACAGGCAATTCAGCTCCTTGGCAAGGTCCCATCAACGCTCAGCTTGTGTGTTCTGGAGGAGGACACATTGGGCCATCAACATGCTCCACCTGCTGCACCTCCCCTGCCCAGTTCAAGCATCTCGGTGGACCCACCTCCAAACCCTTGGCTTCCACATCACCAGCATCTGCCTCGGAGGTGCCCCAGGGCCTCTGCAGTGCCTGAGGTGTCCCCAAGGTATTGGTGGACACGGCATGAAGATCTGGCACCACTCAGCCAAGCTCTCAGACCCACCCAGGTGCCCAGAACCTCTTTATTCTAAGCAGGAGAGCCCCAGCCCTCCATGGACACTAGACATGGGACCTCGGAGCACGTGAAGGTGATGGAAGCCATGGGAGGTGCAAAGCCCAGCCCAGGGGAGCGGGGATGAAGGCAGAAAGGTCTCACTTCCCACCCGCCCTAAGCCCCTCACCCACCGGCACATCCAGGAGCTGCTTTGCACCGATGTCCATCCTCAGCTCCTGCCGGACGTACTCAGGCAGCGGGCGCTCCGAGGCACACCCCGTCACAGCCAGGAACTCGGG